AGCAACTCTGAAATAAAAGTGCCAGCTGGATGATGCAAGCAAGTCAGTGGTCTTCCTTTCAAACCATAAAATTGGGATTTTTTTTTTCTTGCTGTTTCGCCTGCCTGTGGAAACCTCGCTTTGCAAAGCCAGGTTTTATTGCCTGAAGTGCTGTGAAAACTGAGAACAAAAAGCTCTTCCCCCTACAGATACCCCCAGTGTGAGAGTGGGCTCTGTGACCCACCTGAGGGAGCAGCAAATCCTGACAAGGGCTTTAAAACAGCAGCACTTTGTCAGGCTGCACATTCTGCAGGGAATTGGGATCAGAACCACCCTGCACATTCTGCAGGGGATTGGGATGAGAACCACCCAGCTGCACATTCTGCAGGGGGATTGGGATCAGAACCACCCAGCTGCACACTCTGCAGGGGATTGGGATCAGAACCACCCTGCACATTCTGCAGGGGATTGGGATCAGAACCACCCTGCACACTCCTCAGGGCATTGGGATCAGAACCACCCAGCTGCACACTCCTCAGGGGATTGGGATCAGAACCACCCAGCTGCACACTCCTCAGGGGACTGGGATCAGAACCACCCAGGTTGCACACTCTGCAGGGCATTGGGATCAGAACCACCCAGCTGCACACTCGGAAGGAGGACCAGGAACAACCCAGGCTGCACACTCTGCAGGAGGATCAGAACCACCACTGACAACAGCAAACAGTCAAAAGAACAGTAGGAGAACTTTGCCAGTATCAGAACTTTGGGGTTTTTTTCTGCATTTTGGGGAAAGCCCACGTTGGGAAGGGGTTTGTGGGTGTGCAGCACAATGTCACCATTCCCACAGCAGGGTGGTGAGGGGCTGCCCCAGGGCCAGGGATCCACAAGTGCCTTGGAGCAGGTTTGGGTGGCCAGAGAGCTGAGAACAGAAAACACCTGGGGAGGGGCACGGGGCTGCTCCACCCTGGCTGTGTTTGCACCCAGTGTTTGTGAGCACTCCCTGGATGACTGTGGGCAGAGCAGGGACAGGGATAAGGACAGTGGCACAGCAGTCAGGGCTGGGTGAGCAGCACCTCACCTGGACCAGCTCCAGCTCCCAGAGGCTGTCCCAGCCCCTCTCCCCCAGGTAACTCCTTCAGATCCTTCCTATCCTTCATCTCCTTCCTTCCCTAATGTGCAGCTCTTCTCTGCTGGTTTAGCTTTTCCTGAGTTTTGCTCTCACAAAAGCATTTTTTGCATTTGCTTTTTGCTGCTCTGCTCTGCTCCAGCAGTCCTGCCTGTGCTCTCCTGCCCAAGGATCTTGGGAGCTCCTGCAAGTCTCATTTTCTTTATTTGGGTTTTAAAGCACCTGGTCTGCCTTTTCCCCTGCAGTGCCCTGGCTTTTCCTGCAGAATGGGAGCACAGCTTGGTGGCAGAGCCTTTCCCCAGCCACACTGGGACTGGCTGCTCACCTGGTGGCATTGTGGAGCTGTCCCCTCCCTGGGAGCCCAGGGCGTGAATGTTTGAGCTATTTTGCTTCTCCCACTTGGCTCCAGCGTGGAGTGGCTGAAAGAATTGTATAAATCTGTCCCAAGAGCCTGAAGGAGTGTAAATCAGCATGTCCTGCATGCCCAGCCCCTGCCAGGCTGGATCCCAGGTGCTCCTGGGTGTTCCTTGTTTGCTGTAGGTGATTCAGGCCAGCCCTCCCTGCTGCTGTCCCTCGTGTGCCCACGGCTGCTGCCCAGCTCTGCCAGGGCTCAGAGCCCCTGGCCCTGCTCCCCCAACCCCAGCACGCGTCCTCTCCCTGCAGGACAAGACAGAGCTGCTCTCAAGGTAAGCAGAATTTCTGAATCTGTGCTATTATCAGCCCTTTCCTCGCTCCGCGTCAGTCAGAGCTGAAAATTCTGCTTTTCCACCTGGACGTGGCCATGTCCTCAAGCTCAGCTGGGTTCCGAGGGCAGGGAAATTGATTATTTTCTGTGGTGTTTAAATACAACATATGGTAAGTTTTAGCGAGGAGTTAATTGTGGACTTTTGGCATTGATGGACACGGGTGATTGCAATATTCCAGGCTGGTCAATACATCAGGGAGGGGAGGCTTGGCTGCCTTTAGCAGCACACAGCAGATCATAGATTTTGCTATAATTTTCTCTCGTATTTTCTAAGTATTTATCATTCTGCCAGAACCAAACCAATGATTTTTGAGAGAGAGGGTTAAAAAGGAGGATTTTCCCAAGCCTTGAACTTGGCACACTATGGTGCACATAACATTAAAACCAATTAAAAATACAATCATTTTCCTTTTGAATTATTTTCTGCATTACAATGGAAGCAGTGAGGCATAATTTGGGAAAGGGATTGTTTCAGAGCTGTAGAAGCTGGTAGTTCATGTTCCTTTTGGAACCAGTCAGGCTGGATTCCAGCTGGCCTGGAGGAGCCCCCACAAGGACAATATCCTTGGGACTTGGTGAAAAGCCTGTACCTAGAAAGGAAGGCTCAGGACAGGCCTGATTTTAAGGGCTTTCCTCTCATTTTGAAGAATGTTCTTGTATCAGAATCATCTCTTTTCCCCTCTCAGCCCTCCAAATTCACCTTCTCCCATAAAAGTTGTGACATTTTCTCTCACAGAGTGAGGAAGTTCTTCCTGCAGAGCTCTGGCACAGCTCCAGGAGGGTGTGGATCTCCCTCTCTGGAGCCACCCCAAACCCACCTGGCTGAGTTCCTCTGTCACCTGCCCCAGGTGGCCCTGCCTGGGCAGGGGCTGGGTGATCTCCAAGGCCTCTTCCAACCAAATTCTGCTGCAATTCCCTGATTATCTACTCCACAAACACATCGTGAGAGCTCTTTATTTGCCTTTATTCACATTGAATAACTCCAGCTTTAAACCTCGCTATACGAAATGAGAGAAAAACTGATCTGACCACATCAACAGAGGCCTGAGCACTCTGGGAAAAACAAAACCATTCCACGGGAATGCCAGGTGGAGCTGCTGTTTGCTCAGCTCTGGAGCTCAGGGCGCAGCCAGAGCTGGCTGGAGCTGTGCTGGCACAAGGGCAGAGCTGTGACAGCAGCTGCCAGTTCGATTCATCTGCTGAGTTTGGATCGTCACTGCTGCTGCTCGCATTTGTCTGTAGGTGGCAGTGACCTGTCATTTTTCTGTGAAACGGGGCAGAAGTAGCACACACGGATGTTTTCTACATCGTGGAGGGGTCTGGGGTGGAAGGGAGCTTAAAGCCCGTCCTGTCCCACCCCTGCCAGGACAGGGACACCTCCCACTGTCCCAGGCTGCTCCAGCCTGGCCTTGGGCACTGCCAGGGATCCAGGGGCAGCCACAGCTCCATCCTCTCCATGTGCACAGCAGAGAACAGAGTTTGGTATTTTGGGGTCACGTTTGGGACTCTACAGGAAATTTTCCCATTTTTAGCAAAAAACCCTTCCTGTTCATCTCCGTCTTTCCTTGAGAGAGTTCCTGTGAGTGAAAATGCTTTGAAATTCCACGTGGCCGCTGTGTGTGTTTTATTTCAGAATTATAAACTGGATTTTAGGAAATGGCTGAGCTCCCCTGGAGCAAAATCTGCCAGAGATCAGAGCCTGTGGGCCCTGCTCTGCATCAGCTCCAGACACCTCACCTGGAGTGAGGAAATCTGCATCAACAGGAAGCTGCAGGGGCTGAGAATCAGCTACAAATCATTGGAATTATTTTTTTAAAGAGAGGAATTTGCTTCTCTCTCACACACACAGATTTTACAGCACGTGTGAGAAAGGAAGCAAACCTGCAAATATTCCATCCTGTGCCTGGGTTGTGTCCTGGCACAAACCAGGCCTTGGGAGTGCAGGACAAAACAAACCCTCCAGATTGGAGCAGACACTGAATTCACCATCCAGCCTGGGTTCTGATCTTGATTTCTTCTCCTGCCGTGGGATAACCCTGGAAGCTGCTGGGAAACAGTCACAGAGCAAGGGCAGGAGCTTTTTGTACATCCACAGGGAGGCACTGGCTGTTTCCCACCCCAAATCAGACTTCTGATTTATACTAGGAATACCATCTGAGGAGCAAAACCCCTGTGAAACCCTCAGCAATAAGAGCAGACCCAGGGCTGAGAGCTGACCCTGCTCCCCCATTCCAATCCTAGGCAATCTCATTTACTAAAACCACTGCTTTCCTTCTTTTCCCTGACAGCTAAGGTGGTTCAATTAAAATTTAATCTGATTTATTTAAAGGAGGTGTTCTCCTCCATTCTGTGCAGCTTCACTGATTCCCACAGGCAGAGCAGAGCAATAATAACTTTGGCAGCACAGCTCCAGCCTCCTCTCCTTGGGCACCTCCCTCTCTCCAGGTGTGGCTGGAGGCTTTCTCCCCGTTGTTTATTTGGGTACTTTAACAGCAAACACACATTTATATCCTGAGTCAACAGGAACTCCTCTCTTGACTCGATCTGCTTTGCTCTTCCACCGCTTTGCAGGGAGTGTTTGGCCCCAAAGAATTTACAGAGCAAGATCAGAGGGTACATAAATGCATTCTAAATTAAGGGCAAAAGAAAAGAAGATAAGAAAAGAAAAGCCCCCAAATGTATTTGAAATTAAGAAGAAAAGAAAACCAAAACAAACCCCCAGAAGATTTATGTGAATTAGTACACAGGCTGCAGTTCAGTTACCATGTGTGATGCCTTTCCATGCTGCCTCTTTTCCTTCCCTCTGCTTTTTATTAAATAAAAACCAAACAAAAATACTCAAGCTGTTGTAATTTCTGCACAGGTTTCAGCCTTGTGCTGTTGCTAACTCCACGCTGCTCTTTCCTGAGCCCCAGGGATGCTGCAGGTGGGGCTGCAGCCAGTTTTCCTCCACAAACAAGAAAAGTTGGTTGGTTTGTGCCGTTTTTGGGGAGCAGCTGTGAGCCCTGAGCACCATGGGGTTGGGGCAGGTGGGATTTTAGGGATTTTAACAGCCTGCCCCCATTGGCTGTCTCTTAACTAGAGAATTCATATAAACGACAGAGAAAGGGTTATTTGGGGTTTTCTCTCCTCCAGCTCACAGGAGCTATGGGGAATAACCTGAGTGTGCCAGAGGAAGCTGAGGATGACAACACCTGCACAGTGAAGAGTTACCAGGTGAGCAACCCCACTCCCACCTCCCCTGGCTGCTGCCAGTGCAATTTCCACCGCTTGGATGTCCTAAAAACTCTGCTCTTTGTTATTTCAGCCTCTCTCCGAGTCTCCTGACGGTGTCACAAATGGATCTGTGGTGTTTGTTCAGACCCCTCCCCTGGCGGTGAATGGTGAAGGTAGGGGCTGGGAAGGGGAGTGGGAAGTGCCCCGGGGACTGAAGGAACAATAAATATTCATGAATGGCTTTGAATTAGGGGATGGACCCATTTTCCAGCTCTGACCTGGAAATGTGGCTCTGCAGAAGATGCAAAGTTGAAATACAACAAAAAGAAAAATAAGGAATTCTTTCCAGAGTTCTCTGGGTGCTGGTTAAGAGCTCTGGGGGTTTGGTTCTGCCCTGGCCCCAAAAAGTGGATTTACAGGAGGAGGGCTTTGTGGGGAGCATCACCAGGCAGGGCTGCTCGGGTGCTGGTCCCTGCCAGGTTTGTGACAAACTCTGCCCGGGCTCTGGAGGAATTCCTTGTGCAATTCGTGTCTCCAGCAAGCCCGGGGGGAATTGTTGCTGCAAGGAGCCCAAATTTAGGCTCTTGGAAAGGACAAAATGCAGCAGTGTAGGGGGATTATGGACTCTTACAGAGGTTTGGGGTTCTGGGGGACACCAGGAAATGTTTTACAAGAAGAGAACAGTTCATGTGTTGGAAAGGGATAAAAATCCATGTCCTGGCTATCTGCTCCTATCCACAGGATGATAAAGTCTTAGAGACATCATTCCTTCCTGCCACGAGGCTCCCTGCACACACAACAGTTTCCAAGTGGTTTTGAGAAGTTATCCCCACATATTCAAGGGCAGTTGCTCTCATCCACAGGCTCGTGGCTCTTCTTGCTTTTCACACCTCATTAATTCCTCCTTCCACCCCTTGCTGGCTTTGGAGCCTTTCTGAGCAGCAGCAGCAGCACCCCATCCACAGCTCTGAGATTCAGCCACGCTCGTTGATATTAATTCTGAAAAGAATAAAAACTTTTCTTTTCAGAAGAAATAAAACCCAACAATTCCTCTTCAAATCTTACCAGCAAAGAAAATACTTTATAATTCCGTGCTGGGAAAAACACTTTATGATTTGTTGTTAAGAGAACCTCTCAGTCTGTCACTTGAAAAATATAAATTTCGGTAAAAATAGTCAAAGGCTGGTGTGGGGAAATGCAAGTGGATCTGATAACGGCTCAGAATCTCTGCTCCATGACCCAAATTTCCCAGTGCCATCCCATCATAAGTCACTCTCAGCAGTTGCCTACCAGCAAAGCCTCTCTCTGTGTGCTTTTTTCTGGTGTAAACCAGCAGAGTTCTGAGGAGGAAATAAAAGCCAGATGATTTTCACTGCCTGAAGACCTAGAAAATACATGTACATTTTATTCCTCGTATGTAAAATGAAGCATATGGGACTGCTTTACTTAAATGGATTATCTAATTAATGTAACTGCTAAATCAGTTTAAGTAGCAAGTTGAAAAATTAGACGTTCCTGTGTTGATATTTCTTGTATTTTAACTTTTTTTCCCTATTTGAAAAGCAGTTAAAGTCACTGAGATAGCATTGAAATTTCCATGTTTGTGCAACATAATTTTGGAGGCATACAAGTGATAGAAGTTATAACTAGGGAAACGTAGTATTTCTAAAATGAAATATTCTAATAAATAGCATTTTTGGGGCATAGAGGGAGGATTTTGGGGGGAGCCAGAGCTGAAAAAAGGGGAAACTTTTTGTACTTTCAATAATAAAACTACTTGGTGAGCAACAGGTGAAGGGGAGAAGGTTGGAACTGGAATTTTCTGTATCTGGTTTGCACTGCACAGGGCAGAAATGCAGCAGGAGGACAAAACAGGAAAAATTCCTGTGGGCTCGGGTGGTAATTCCATGCAGATTGAAACAACGACCTGCTCCTAAAAAGAATTGCAAAGGAATTAAAAAGATTACAAAGGAGAAATGTTGAGTGAAGATGCAGCTCCTTTGTCCCAGAGGGCAAATCCCATTCAGCAAATCCTGCTAATAGCCAGAACCCAGCAGAAATCCTGATTGCAGCAGCTCCTGTAAGGCCTGAAATGGGAAATATTTCAGGGATGCTTTTAGAGAATGAGCATTGCTCTTCTTGCTGCTGACTCCTCTGCCCCTATTTCCATTAGTTTCTGGAAATCTGCAGGTAAATAACAATGCAAGTTAAATTAGAGAAACAAGATGATTCTTGCAGCAAAAAAAATTATGTGCATGGAATAGTGGAGTAAGATGGCAAAACATATTAGTGTGTTCCTTCTTTTTTTAAAGAAGGAGGAGAGTTTTATTTTGGATTTGTATTTGCTGCAGAAATTCATTCAGCACTGTTGTAGCCTGTGCTGCCCTGCCCTGCTGGAATTCCTGGTGCCAAATGTTGTCTTGTAGCCCTTAATGGTTTCTTCATGGCCATTAAAATATTTTGTCCACGATTATCTGAGCACCAGGGGAGAAAAAAGCGCTGTGTGGCTCTAATTCCATGGCTAAGCAAAATATTTGTTTGTGGCTGGCTTGTACTCAAAAGAGAGGAATGAGATGAGCTTTAAGGTCCCTTCCAACCCAAACCATTCCACAGTTCTGTGATATTGCATTAACCATTGATCTGCTCTATTTTTTTCACTAAGTCAAGGAAAAAAATGTTGGTTTAATTTGCCAAATTCCAGGGGAAAAAAGTGTTCTTACAGAAGAGGGACTTTGTGTAGCCACAAAATTTCCTTTTTAACACGCCCTGATAAAGGGAAGGGGAAAGAGAGACAAATCTTCTGGAGTGTGACTGTCTTTTGTTAAAGAGTTGAAAGGCAAATACCCGAGCAGGAGTAGTCTGAAATGCAGTCTGTAAATTGTGTATTGATTTTCATCTCAGAGCAGCTTTTAATCTCAGTCACAACGAGCAGCTTTGATCTGCTCAAAGACCTGACCTAGAATTTGGGGGGTTTTGCTTACCTTTGCAATTCTGCCTCTGGATTGAGGAATAAATGTGGAAAAAAGATGGCACTGGTGTGTCTTTAAAAACAAAAATAACACAGACTTTTCACCCAAATACTGGAATTTCAAGGTTTTTCTCCCTCAGTTTGCCATGCCTGTTCAGTGCAGCCCAGCACTGGTGGGATCTGCTCTGCCTCTGGCTGAGCAGAATTTCCTTGGAGCAGCTGGAGCTCTCCTGACACAACACACACACAGCAGAGCCCAGGCAGTGACATTTTCCAGGGCTTCCATTCCTTCCATGATAATTTGAGATAAAAGGAGCCCCATAGGTTCCTGAGCTGCTACTTGCTTAGCTGGTTTTCTTAATGCTGAGCTTATGTCCCCATTTTTGAGCCAAAGCCAGTTTTCCTGTGGTTCATTTGTTATCTGTTACATAAAGCAGAAGTTCAGCATCTCTTACATTTATTTTCCTATGGATATTGTTTCTCCTTTCTTTAGCTGGGGAAGGGTTTTTGATTTTTGCTTCCTTCCCAAGTTTCCAACTGTAATTAGAAGTTCTTTTTCTAACTTTACTACAGGAGGCTCAGGAAACTACAGCTGATCCTTAGTGGCCCCAGCTGAGTATCTCAGTAGGTGCTGGAGTAGCTGTAATTTGCACTTTTGCTGTGCCTGTCAGGACATTGAAATCGAAACTGGTGCTCATGAGATATCCCAGGAGGATATTGCTGCTCCAAGATTCCTGCCAGTGGAGCTGATTCCTTACAGGAACAGCAGAAGAACAATGCAGGGGGGAAAAAAATTCACGTATGCCCAGAAAGAGGAAATCTTTGCCTGCCAGAGCAGGCTGTGCTGAGGAGCTCTGGCCACTCTGCCCAAAACACAAAGAGGGAGCAAAAGGCTCCTTAAGAATGATCCAAGGGGAGGAGTTGGGAGCCAGGTCCTAGCAGCTGTGGAGTGCTGGGGCAGCTGTGGCTGCTGTCACCACAGCCCTGACAGTGTCAGCTGTGCCTCTGCTGCTGGCACATGTTTGGGTGAAGTCCTTTGAGGTGATGCTGGCATGTTCCACTGCACTCCCAGCACGGGCAGGAGCTGCTGGAGAGGGTCCAGAGGAGGCTCCAGGGTGGGCAGGGGATGGGCCAGCTCTGCTGGCTCAGCTGGCATTGTTCCCCCGGACAGGAGAATCTCTGGGGGGAGCTCAGTGTGGCCTGGAGGAGCCAAGAGCAAAGATGGAGAGAGGATTTCCAAGGGATGGAGGGACATCACACAGGGAATGGCTTCAAACTGACAGAGAAGAGGTTTAGGTTGGATGTTAGGGAAAAATCCTTCCCTGTGAGGGTGGGCAGGCCCTGGCACAGGTGCCCAGAGCAGCTGGGGCTGTTCTGGATCCCTGGCAGTGCCCAAGGCCAAGCTGGACAAGGCTGGGAGCCCCTGGCACAGGGGGAGGTGTCCCTGCCATGGCAGGGTGGGGTGAGGTGGTCCCCAAGGTCCCTCCCAGCCCAAAGATCCTGGGGTTCATGGAAAACCCCCCCTTCCTGCTCAGCAGGAGCAGCCTGGGCTGTGGTTTAGGGTCCCGTGGGGACACTCAGCCATGGCATTAAAGCTGTGGAAAAGGAAGCTCCAGGCTGGGCCCTGGGCTCTGCTCTGCTGCTGGAGCTCCCAGGGGTGTCCCCGGGATCCCTGGAGCTGCCAGGCAGGACAGAGTCTGATGGATGCAGACACATCAGCCCAGGACCTGCTGATGTTTTCTGGGTTATCCAGAATCCCTGGGGAGGTGGGAAACCGGGGGGAATTTTGCTGTGAAAAGCCAAGGGGTAGCTTTGAAAGCTGGGATCTAAAATTGTTCTGTTTTCCTAATCTCGGAGAATTTCACACTGAAGATCTGTGCTGTGTGGAAGGTGTGTTTCAGTCAGGTTTTTTTGGTATCTGGGGTTTTCTTTCTCTTAAAGGAAAATGTGAAAGGCATAATATTGACTAGACTATTACAATTATAATTTGAAACAATTTCAATTTTACATTGAAACTGACAATTTTCCTGTTCTAATTCAGCAAGCTGGTTTGAGCCTGACAGTTTTCTACAGTTATAATTAAATACATCTAAATTCATCCTTGAAATGTGCTGATGACTGACAGGGAAATCAGATCCATATTCCAGTCCAAGTAGGGAAGAGAAGCTGAAGCTCAGGGGGAGCTGTAAGATTTACCTCTGACAAGACCCTTTTTTATTGGGGTTTCACACCACATCATCTGTGCTTCAGACTCCCAGCCACAAAACTGATCCAGGCAAGATTATTTTTCTTTTGTCTTGTGTAGAGCAGGAGCTGCCTTTTCCTGCCTGTGAATCCCATACCAGGGATTTTCACCTCAACAGTGCTATCAAAGCACCATTGTTTTATAAAATCACAAAATATATTTTTAAATCAAAAGGATTTTTTTCATCTAAGGTGTAATGGCCACGTGTGTACACATGGAATTATTTGTGTGAGTGTTGGGAGAGGAAATGTGATTCTGAGCCATAGTTTGTGAGAGAAGAAATGTAAAATGTAAAGAGAAATGTAAGGATAAGAAACCTGGCTGTGATGTGATTTATCAGTATTCAAATCAGGCTCAAAAATAACCCACAGGCAGAGGAGAGGTGCAGGTAGGAGCTACACTGAGGAGAGCAGGCAGCAGGGCAAGGAAAAATGAATGAGATCAGTTCTGGCTGCACAGAACTCCCTGCTGGGAGTTTGGCCAGCCAGGAAATGGGATCAGTCCTGGTGCTTCCCATTCCTTTTGTTACTTGAGCTTTGACAGAGGAGCAGGTGATATCTTGATACATATTTTTGCGTATCACTGATTTTAATTTGCTGTCCACTGGGCTGAGTAGTGCCAAACAGGGCTGGTATCTGACTTTGACACTGCAGGGGCGTTGTGCAGTGGGTAAATTTGCACTGATTTCAGTGAGGAGTTGCAGGGGGGCAGAAATCAGCTCTGAGGCTGAGCAGAGGGTAAAATTCACACCGATTTCAGTGAGGGGTGGCAAAAATCAGCTCTGGGGCTGAACAGAGGGTAAAATTTGCACTGATGTCAGTGAGGGATGGCAGAAATCCACTCTGGGGATGAACAGAGAGTAAAATGTGCACTGATGTCAGTGAGGGATGGCAGAAATCCCCTCTGGGGGCTGAGCAGCAGCACGGGGTCCCCAGTGTGCCCTCAGACCAGCTCACCCCAGCGCGGGTGCCCATGGCTGTGGTGCCTGTGGCTGGCGGTGCCCATGCCCATGGGTAATTCCCTCTCTCCCTGTGTTGCAGCAGATGCCAGGGCACCTGCAGGCCGGGATAACGTGCCCGTAATTCCCTCTCTCCCTGTTTTGGTGCCCATGGGTAATTCCCTCTCTCCCAGTGTTGATGCCCATGGGTTATTCCCTCTCTTCCTGTGTTGGTGCCCATGGGTAATTCCCTCTCTCCCTGTGTTGTAGCAGATGCCAGGGTGCCTGCTGGCCGGGATAACGTTCCCGTGGGTTATTCCCTCTCTCCCTGTGTTGCAGCGGATGCCAGGGCGCCTGCAGGCCAGGATAACGTACCCATGGGTTATTCCCTCTCTCCCTGTGTTGGTGCTGTGGGTAATTCCCTCTCTCCCTGTGTTGCAGCGGATGCCAGGGCGCCTGCAGGCCAGGATAACGTACCCATGGGTTATTCCCTCTCTCCCTGTGTTGGTGCTGTGGGTAATTCCCTCTCTCCCTCTGTTGCAGCGGATGCCAGGGTGCCTGCAGGCCGGGATAACGTTCCCGTTTCTTCGGCGGAGCTGGGCCCCGGTGCCCGGGCGGGCGGGCAGAGCGGCGGGAGCGCTGCCAGGAGGGCCCTGCCAGCTGCCAGGCCCCGCTCCCTGCTGGCCTTCCCCTGGGCCGTGCCAGCGCGTTCCGAGGAGCCGGCGGCGGCTGCAGCCCCCGGAGAGGCCACCCTTGATGCCACCGGGCTGAACAAAGGCCCGAGTGAGGGCACGGAGGGGCCCAGGGCAGCTGCGCCGCAGGAGGGCGGCCATAAAAACCCGGGCCAGGCCCCGCTGCAGGACGTGGAGCTCGCGGGGACACCTGAGGGACACGATGTGGCCGCCCCAAAGGACAAACAAGTGACGCTCTTGGACAGGATCTTCAGGCTGGAGAAGGGCAAGGGAAGGACACGAGGGGACCCTGAGGAGGGAAGGCAGGGGCTGGACGTTCCCAACGGGAGCATCGCGGCCAGCGTGCCCCACGGGGAACCACTACGTGAGGCAAGTGTTTCATTTATATCCATAAAATAGCCTTTAATTTTCTTTTTGCTGGTGAAACCTCTTGGAAATGTTGGCAGAGTGGGGTAACTCTGTGTGGGGTGGGAATGGATCAGTGTTGCCCTGAAAATGACCACAGGTAACGCTCCAGGACAGAGGTGTGGAAGATGAACCTGTGGCCAAGGAGTGAAGCTGTGTCTCATGACTAAATCCTGACCTCCAGTTTAATTCAATTTATAATTCCCTTTTTTTACAATAAAGGTTTGGGCAACACAGCTCCAACTGCCAGGAGGAGCAGCTGCCAGCTGCAAATGAAAGCAGAAATACCTGAAACTAAACCAGTTTCTTGTGCTTTAGGACCTTGGAGGTTGACACTGGATGGGTTTCTAAAAGTCCTTTGGTGTGTCGTTTTTAAAATAGCCCTACTTCTCTAGCAATAGTTGCTGGATACCCTATTCAGCAAAATTAAGACTATTATGCAGCAATGATTTTTGTACTCCAGATTATTGTGATGTTTTAGTCAAGGAAAAGTGGTTCATTAGAAATGATTTTACAGGATGAGAATGTGATATAAGAAACTACAGATCTTAAAGAGCATCCTGGTCAAAGGAGCTGAATTATGAGTTTAGATTTTACACTTCCTGCCAGATCTGATGTCAGCAAAGGTATAATTTTCAGGTAATTAACTCCAGAAAAAGCCCATCCTCTGAAAGGGAATAATGGTGTAACTCTGAGTTCTGCTGGAGAGGTGGAATGCAGGAATTGGTGATCAAATTAAAACCCTGTCTAATGTCAGGAACAGGAGGGGAAAACCAATGTGTAAATAGCACTTTAGTAATTGCTTTTATTGGCCAGTTCAGGCTTACAAATAAGATGGTGATCACTGATGCTTTGGGTAGTGTTGAACTTACCTCATGGGATCCTCACTGCTTACACTGCCAGCATTGCAAGTTGCCCCAAAATTCTTTTCTTTTTAATCTTTCTCTTCTCTATCTGATTCCTTCTCAGAATTGAAGATCACATTTCTTGTGTAAATTTACATTGTAAATACTTTTTCTGAGGGTTCATTTTAAAGAAAGAACTGTTCCATTTTTCACCCCTGCCCCTCAGGAGTGCTCCCATCACTGGTGTTTCAGACAGCTCAGGATGCACATTTAAAGAAGCCATAAAAGCATTCAGCACCTAAGCAGAACAGGGTGGATAATTTGCAATGAATCTTCTGTTCAGGGCACACTGGCACTTCTGTGTTCAGCCTCTCAGAATGAAGCTTTTCAACACCCCAAATTCCTGCAGATATTTTTGACTATCACACAAGTCCTCCCCGTGGCTTGCAGGAATTGTCTCTTTTCCCACCAAATGCCAAATTCTCATTTCCTATTTTGCTGTCACTGCAGTGACACTGCTTTCATTTACAGAGTGGGGAAGGTCACAGCTGGTGCTGCTGAAGGAATGCTGTGAAAGTCCAAGGAAAGAACACTTTGGAGCAGTTTTAACCAAAATTCAGAGTTAAACATTGCTGGGAGCAAACAGTCCTGTTGAAAGCTCAGGTGAGGCAGAGCATGATCAGGGACAGAAGGGAATCTAAATCATTCTCCCAGTTCAAGCAGGGAAGCACACTGCTCATCCAGATCAAGCTTTATTATATCAATAACACCTGGATTTCTCATTAATTCCTACTGATTGGCAGTTCTGCTCCAGTCCCCTTGTACCCATCCCCATCCTGGAGGTGCCTGATGGGAATAACCTGGAAATCCCAGGCACAGCTGAGCCCTGGGTGGTGCTGGGGCTGGCTGGGAGTATCTGCAGCTTTTTGGAACATTCCTGAGGACAGGTCTGGTTATCAAAAATGCCTCTACACTTCCTAGGTGTGTGCTTGAATCTACACATGGACATCTTTGAGGAATCACAAAATTTGGGTTCACAGATGACAGATCTGGATCACTGGGAGAGGAATTTTAAACATACAGTTGAATTTTTTGGGCTATAATTTTGTCTTTGGTTCTTTCAGACATGAAAAGGAATATATGGTGGGGGCAGAGAGGAGTTAAGCACCTTTTTGGGGGAAAATACATCAGCTAAACACTGCAATGTGTTGCCAAATTTAACTCAATCCCTAAAACAAAGGCAGTGGCTCTGCCTTGCAGCACAGTTGCCTTCTGTTCCCTCTGAAGTTCCAATTCTCCTGCTGGATGGGAGAATGACCAAGCCTAATTTAATTACTGTTACTGTACTAACTACAAACTGTTACCAAAAAAATCATACTAAAAATCAAGATATCGCTGCCAACAGCTCCTCTTTTTTCTCTTTCTCTCTCTTTTTTTTTTTTCTTTGTGGATTATGACTTGTAGTATCTGTAAATGCTAAAAGCAAAGTTTCCCTGCACTGAGTGCCAAGACAAAACAAACAGCGTTGCTGGTGAGTAAGAGAGAGGCTCCACAGTTGTAGCTGAAGAGCTGCACAAACATTCTGTGTTTGCTGAGCCACCCTTTATTTTTGTGGTCTACAAAACTACATTCAGAGCGCAGCATAATTAAAACAAGGGCAGAATTCATGAATTCATGAAGCATTTACTATGTAAGCCAAAGAAAAGATAAATTATATGCCTGAAATGTTTCACTGAGCCATGATTCATGCAAACAAAAGTGCTGGCAGGAATACATTCTTTTGATATGTTTGGGGTGGGTTTTTTTTTTTTTTTTTCTGATGACTGAACTGAAACTACAGTACATTTAAGGTGTTTATTACCCCCAAATTTAGCTTCTCAAAGACACGAATTGAACATTTACATAGCATCTATTAACTCCTAATACTGATCTTCTGTTATTCCTGGGGTTTCTTTCATTATTTACCCCCAGGGCTTTGAGCAGGGAGCTGCCACAGAGGCTTTTGTGGCGATTTGGTGGCTCTGCAGACGTGATCCTACAGGGCTGTGTGTTTTCTGTGCCTGATTTCTGTGCTGGTGGCCCCAGCCTGGGCTCTTCCTGCAGGAATATTCCCATGGGAGCACAGGATGGATCACAGCCCCTCTCCAAGGCCAGACTGGAGTGATTCTCTATAGCCAGGGGCAGCCTCGGCTTGGGCAAGGTCATTTTTATTGGGAAAAATTAGAATGAAAGCATTCTAAAGAACCCTTCCCCGTGCTGGGTGATTAAAATAGCACAATAATTGTATAATATGGATTTCTTTATGTCACCAGTGGAAGGAATAGACTTTAAATGCTGTAAGACTTCAGAGGGATGAGGACAGCTGGGCGTGGGGTGGGCAGTGCCAGCAGAACACAGGAGTTGAAATGGGCACATCAACTGGGGCACATCTGAGCTGTGAGGCTGGACTTCAGGGATTTTGGGATGGCCCCACTCCTCAGGATCTGCAGTGGCTTTCTCTTCAATGTGACTTTGTCAGGGAGATGTCCTGGATCAGCCAGAGGTGCTGGAAACAGCTGTGTGCAGCTCCCTCCCGAAGTGCATCCCAAGGCCAGGGCTTGGGCTTGTCTGTAATTCCAAAAAAAGTTATTAAATCTGTTTCTTTTCTTGATAGCATCCAGCTCGAAAGAGTGTGATGGCGCCAAGCACTTGGGCTGTGAATCTAGTTTTGTTTAGCAGCACATCATCCTCCTCCTCTCCTCCTCCTGCCTCAGTTGTCCCTTGAACACCTGGAGCAGAGCCAGCATTTTCCATGGGGCCAGAGCTCTGCGTGTGCCACCCCGGGCTGGCGTGGCCACGTGTGTCCTGCATGGGACAGATTGTTCCTGGGGCCCCTCTGGGGCTGGCAGCTGCACAAAGTGGTGTGTGAGACCCTTCAGTGGCCTGCTGAGCATTCCAGCAGTGCCCTGCTGCTTCCTGGGCCAGCTTGCAAAACTGGGTGGGTGGGGAATGACACTGAGGTCCCTTCTGGCATTTCAGTGTCTGCTTTAACTCCCTGTGTTCTGCTGGCACTGCCCACCCCACACCCAGCTGTCCTGATCCCTCTGAAATCTTACAGCATTTAAAGTCTATTCCTTCCACTGGTGACATAAAGAAATCCATATTATACAATTATTGTGCTATTTTAATCACCCAGCACGGGGAAGGGTTCTTTAGAATGCTTTTATTCTAATTTTTCCCACTAAAAGAAGCACTGAGCTATAATGGGCTGGTTAGGGAAAAATACCTTGGATGTCACTTAGGCATTCTTTGATGTCACTCTCTCCTGCACACTTTTCGTGAGCTTTCCTGTGCAGGTTCAAGACAAAGGTGGCCAAAATGGAAGGTAAATTCAGTGTGAGAAGTGCTAAACTCCCCAAAACTGGTTCAAGAAGTGTTTTTATAGAAGCAGACCCTTGTCCAGCTGTCTAAACAGAAAACAATACCTAAATATTACCTACTTTTGTGAGTGCTTGAGCACTAGAAAATGTTTTGGGGCTCAGGGAAGTGTAATTCCACAAAGAGAAGAGGCAGCTCTGTCTGGCTAAGAGGAATCACTTTGATTTGTATCCTTTTTCCTTCTTTTAATGTGTGTCACATTGGTGTTTGATAGATAAAAACGATTCCTGGCATGACAAAATAGAGAATCAGAAGCCATCTTTGGATGGTGCGCTCAGACACGGAGCTGGCAGGGCCAAAATCTCAGCATTTTGCTCCCATTTTTCACAAGCTCAGCCTCGAAAGGACAAAAGTGGAGTTTGGGGCTCGCCCTGTGCTTGTTGTGGCTGAGAACAACGTTCCCCCAAGCAGCAGCAGCGCTTGAGTGTCCGAGGGGAGAGGGGAAGGAGAGGGATAAATGCTGGATTGTTCTGCCCGTGGGCTGGGCAGGAATGGTTGGAATTGCCGTTGTGACTCCCAGCGAGTCACAAAAGCCACTTTTGCATTCCACTGGGCATCAGGCAAGCTGGCACTGAGCAATCTGTGCCCCCTTTTATTTTTTAGGAGATAGATGAGTGCAGCCAAGAGGAGCTCGGGCAGGACTCTGCAGGTGAGCGGGGCCCGGCTGCTGCAGCACCTGGGAGGGCACGGGCACAGCAGGACAGTCCCCAGGCGGCTGCAGGACAGGGCTCAGTCATGAGCTTCCTCAAAACACTGGTAAGTTCTGCCTTGCCTTTCCATCTCTTTGGGCTTCAGCTGTTTCCAAAAATCCCCTGTGGGAGTGGAGAAGTTGTATAAATTCAGTAAAATGTGTCAATAAATGTAAAATGTTCTCTGTCAGGGGGGATGAGGAGGGTGTGGGGGGACACTGAAATGATCAAGTGAGTGCCACCTGCTCTGCAAACTTCCACTTCTACACAGATACAGATCTTGGACTGTCTCAAAGACTTCCTGCTTGATATTCCTTTTGTACCACCTCTAAAAGTTCATTTTTATTAATTGTTTAGAAGCTTGAATAGTAAATATTCACTCCAGGCATTTTTCATCGTAGCCATTACGTTGTTCTCAAGGAATATTTGCATTATCAATTTTCCCACTTGAGGCAAGCAATATGTGTATTTTCCCTTTGTGCAAATAAAACCTGCTGATTTCAAACTTATCTTTTCGATCCTTTGAAAGGCTGGGTTGAGTGATCTTTTTTTTTCTTTTTAAATTCCTTTAAGGTCTCCCCAAGCAAAGCTGAAGCCAAAAGTGATTCTGAAGACAAGGTAGGCAGTTCCTTGTTCCTTGGTCATTAGGTGTTTTTCACACAGGGATTTCCTCTTCATTTTGTTGGGTTTTTTCTCTAACTGATGTCATAATTTGAAGTAATTTCAAATATTTTCCGCTGGATAAATTGAAAAGAAAGAGGCTAAACAGTGCAATTCTTAATATCATCTGTTACAATCACAATCTGTTGTGTTTTCTGCAAGCTTGGTGATGACTGGTGACACTTTTGGTTGTTTCTCTGACTTGTTTTTGATCTAAAATTTCCGTGAAAACTTTGAGTCCACAAAAAAGTTCTGTTTGCTCGTACAACAGTTTTCCTTGTGCCTTGGAAAAACTTTATTAAGAAAAAAGGAATAAAACCCTAAAAATGGAAGTGGTTTTCCCGTGCAGATATTAGCCAAAATCACAACATTTTTGGGTTTTCTCTTTATTTTTTTATTCTTTTGTCCTATTCAATATTCAGTCTTTGTGGCAAGCTTGGTGAGTACATGGGGGATTTAATTCTGAATAACTCTATAAATTATTCTCAATAACTCTGAAAATCATCAGATAGGGTGAAGCTTTTCCAAGCAATGCAGAAAATGCAGTTATTAAAGTGCCCTGCCTCAGGGAGACTTGCAGCTCTTCCCAGAGGTGGTGAACAATCCAGTTTGGATGGAAACAACCCCAGTTCCTTCCCTGACTCTGTCACCTGTGCCAGGTGACTGCTGGTGCTGCTGTCATTTGGACAGGAATATTCTGGGTGGGTTTGGTTTGCTGGCACACCTGGCAGGGCAAACAAACCCAGGTGACTTGCAGGATGTGCAAACTCCTTCCAGGAGATTAAGTGGGAGTTCTTTTTTATTGGGAATTCCTTTATCTGATATGGCATTTGTACTTCAATAAAGGGGAAATATGTCGAGGAGGTTAATTTATCAGCTCCCAAGTAGAAAAGCTGCAGATTTTTTGGCTGATAGGAAATAATGGTATTTTTTTTCCCCCAAAAAACAACTGAAGTGTGTTAAAGATAAAGCTTTGCTAAGTGAAGTTTTCCTGAATGCCATGGGGCTGTTGGGTGGCTGCTTTGCCTTCAAATGATAGAGTCATGGAATATCCTGGAGCTGGAAGGGATCCAAAGGTTCATCCAGCCCTGGCCCTGCACAGAGCCCCAGCAATCCCACCCAGAGCCTTGTCCAGGCACTTTTGGAGCTCTGAAAGGTTTGGAGCAGGGAATGATCTCTGGGGAGCCTGGGCAGTGCCCCAGCATCCTCTGGGGGGGGGGAACCCTTCTGTTTCTGTAGGGTCAGGCTCTTATCAGTGCTGGCTCCAGCTCTAATCAGCTGCTGGGCCACGTGTGCTGCCAGCAGCCGGGCACACCCTCGGTGGTGGCAGTCCCTCAGGTGCCTTGGGCAGGCTGAGCTAGAGCAGAGACTGGACAGAGCTAAAGAATAAAGCAGGGATTTATGAAAAGGATCTCCTCCATGGATCCACCTTGGGCAGCACAAGAGCCCAGCCAGGGCTGCACCCAAGATGAACCCAAATGGTCCCAAAAGGAACCCAAGATGAACCCAAATGGTCCCAAAAGGAACCCAAGATGAACCCAAATAGGCCCAAAATGAACCCAAGATGAACCCAAATGGTCCCAAAATGCACGATGGTCATGGGGTCTCTCCCTGGGATCAGCTCTGCTCCATGTGCACATTGCAGTTCAGTGTCCAATTCCAGCTCAGCCCCTGCACTCCCACCCTGCTTGTTTTTCTCTCTGCAGCCCACGGGGTTTGTGCTCTTGGGCTGAGATTTGGATCATTTGTCCTTGGTGCCCAGCTGGAGCAGGAATTGTTTTGTGTCCCTGCTCTGTGCACAGAGCTCACCATCCCATAATATGAACCCAGACCCACACACTAAAGCAGCACAGAACCTGAAAAATAGAAAAAGAAAAATAGAGAATAGAAAAGCTAAACCCAAAGGCATCACCGTGGTGGCTGTCCCTCAGTGGCTGTCCCTTCCTCTGTGCCCACACCAGTTCAGAGCCTGGTCACACCTGCTCAGGCAGTTCCTACAAACCAAGAGGTTGTTTGCACAAGGTCTGCCCCAAGTCACTGACCTCACCCTCCTGTGGCAGACCCTGAGCTGATCCTGTGTCATTCTGTGTTCAGGAATTGTAGGAATTTTGCAGGGAAAAGGGTCATTTTTGCTGTGAGAATTAGTAAGGAATAATCCTTCATCCTCCTCCATGCCAGGTAGTCAAAGGCATCTTCCTGCTTTAAATCCTGGGACCTCGAGCAATTAATTAATTAATTTCAAGGACATTAATGCAAGCTTGAAATATTTAGGCAGTGTATATCATGAATATTCACACTGCCCTTTTGCTAAATAATGCATTATATAAAACATTTTAAAGTCCCTATTATGCTGCAATAAAAAGACTGAAGGTTCCTCCAAAGATTTATATATTTGCCTGTTTTAAATTATAAATCCTAAATTGCTTCTTCATGACTTAGAAAGGCAGATGTTTGTGTGATTTAGGTTTCAGTTTAGTGGAGATTTTAGAGGGAAAGTCGTGGTTTAGTTTGGAATCGGGTGGATTGCATTGGCTTTTATTTTGCTGTTGGTGTGAAAAAAAACTCTGAGGAGAGCTGAGAAATCACACAGGAAAAACCCCACAATTTATCCAGAGCTAAGAGGGGATCTTTTCCTTTAATCCCACGTGTGTGATGATGGAATAATGTCTTTGATGAAGCAAATATCTGCAGCAAACACTCACCTGCCCCTGCTGTTGTGCCAAGGGCTCCAAGGCGGAGAAGGGCCCTGGGGGACAGCCTGGCCCGAAGGCAGCAGCAGAATCCCCCTCCAAAGGAGCCAAGAAAAAGAAGGCACAGAGCCCCAAGCTGGGCCACAGCACCTTTAGCAAACTCTTTAGGCACAAGGTTGGTATGGAGCTCCAGGAGCAGCAGAACCCTGAGCAATCACAGCTGGCTCCTGTGAGAGAGGAGTTCTTTGCCCACATCTGGCCAGATGTGCAGAGCTCTGGAGGTTCCTGGGGGAGCATTTCTGTGCTGGGGGGGATGGGAACCATCCTGAGCTGCACCTTCGTCTCCTTGGGCCCTCTGTGAGCTCAGGGTTCTGGAGCAATAATTCCTGGAGCAATAATTCCTGGAGCAATAATCCCTGCCAGTTACTAACACAGACTAAACCCCCCTGGCCACTAAAAACCAAAATCAGAGGTGCTGACAAACAATGAATTGTGTAGAGGTGACCAAAGCCTGAAACCAGAGAGGTTTGGGAGCTCAGCCCAGCCACAGGTCGGGTTTTATGTCATTAATGTACACCAGAACTTGGCTGAAATTGGCATTTTGGGGCATCTGGTACAGCACAGAGGAGGCTGGAACATGGAATTCCCTGCAGAAATAGGGATTTCTCACTGCAACCAAGAAAATTAATTTATTTTAGTTGTGATTTAGTTTGGAGTAGAAAAAAAAATCTGGGTTTGATGAGTACTTTAAAGGGCTCAAAATGCACAGTCAAGCAAATGGCTGTTTCAGAGGACGTAAGCTTTTACGTTAAAAACCAGAAATTACCAAAAACTTTTGGCCTCAAGCTCTGTATTTAAACATTTCTGCGTTCTCTGAAGATAATCATGGCAGGCAAGCAGAGAATTGCAGCCTTTTAGCCCAGAGAATGCAGAAGCAGGGACCCTTCCAGTGGGGGAGGATCTTAATTAATATTTAGTTCTCCCTCCAAACACCCACATGGAATTTCTGGTGAGTAGGGGGCTTTATAATCAAGGGCATAGGGCATTCTTTAATACATTTTAAAACCAAAAATGTTCTTTCCACTATCTCATTTTTGAGGGGAAAAAAAAAGTAATCTGCATAGTAATGAAGGAATAATAATATTCCAAATGAATTCAAGTGTGCAGTTCTTCCCAAAACCTTAAATTTGATATCTCAGCTTCATTTCTTAATAAAATTAAAATATTAATTACTTGTTCATAATGAATTAAGGTTCCTGGTAAAAACCAAACCTGACTGGCATTTTTAAAGATTCCATTCCAATAATTAATATTGCAATAAACTGTAGTGAGAAAATTCCCTGGAATATTTAATGAAAGTTTAAAGAGTTTGAGTTAACAGAAACATTGTTTTTCAGGCTCCTGTGTTACAAAATCCTAACTCTAAAGCAGCTTGTGATGCTCTTCCCATCCATGCACATTTGTCCTTCATTCCATGCTAATTTTGCATATAACTGTGCTGATTTATGGAATTTTCCTTGGAAGAGAAGGGTGAATCCCATGCTGAAGCCAGCCCGTGGCATCCTCACCCTTGTTCTCACCTCCCTTTCTGGGTGTTGTTTGTCAAAACTGACCATAAAAAAGAGTTCTTGGCTCCTGCAGAATAACTGCCCTGCAAAATGTCTCACCTGCCCTGCAAAATGCCTCACCTGTTCTGTGGAGAACTTCCCAAAGTCTGCCCAGGCTGCTGGAGCCTGTCCAGATGGGTTGGGTGGGTTTTTGTGGCTCAGGTCATTCTTCAGTGTGAGGGGTAAGAGATGCAGCTAACATCCCTGGCCAAGGAGGAATTTAACTGGCTCCTCCTTTGTGTATCCTGCTGAAATCAGGAGCCCCATCACTCAGTGTTTGTGCTGAAGGAAATCCCACCTCCTGCCCAAAAATACGAGAGCTGGGTGGAACAGCATATATATTTTTAAAGAACTAGTTGAGGACTACAAGCACAAAGGATGCAGCACCAAGCTGGTGCAGGTACAAGGATGGGACCTGGCATTCCCTTCAGCAGCCTCCACTCTTCCAGGGATCAGTTACCATGGCTGCAGGAGCCAGGACTTGCACACACATTCACTAAATATAAAATAATTGGTGACACAGACAATTGCTGGCCTGTGGAACTGCAGTGCTGCCGTGGCCTCAGACAGACTCATCTTTGTGTTTTGTTTCCCTTCAGGCTGCGAAAGAAACCCAGCAGACAACCAACACCAAAGTGAGTAGGAGGGGTTGAATTATCTGTGCAATGCAGGAAAAGGGGAATTCTCACTGCTGTGTTCAGTCTTTAAGTGTTTTAATTTCTGCATCTTGTTCTGGCTTTGCTGTGTCTTTGTTCCTCTGCCCAAGGAAGTAGGGCTGGAGGGGCTGGGAAGAGGGGATGCTCACCTGCCCCAGGTGATGGCTGTGCATTTGTTCCCCACAATCTCCATGTCCTCTCATTCCCAGAGCCCTGAGCAGCCTCCTGTGACCTGTGTCAAAGCAGACAGAAATGTCCCTCCCTCCCAAGAGGCGCCGGCCAAGCAGAACCCGAAGGCGCCGGAGGCCGCGGCCCCTCCGCAGGCAGTGAGCACCGATCCCCCCCGGGAGGGCACCAAGGACAAGGGCTCGGCCACTCCTCTGCCCCTCAGCAAGCTCTTCTGGAAAAAGGTACAGGGGAATGGAGGAATGGAGTTCATTCCTGCCAAACCCGCCACGGGCAGCAGCTCCCACGTGTCCAGCAGCAGGGGCATGAATTAACTGTGGTGCTTTTCATGTTTTTATGGAGTCAGGAATGTTATCCTTTCACAATTCAGTGCTTCTGTTAAATATCCCCCAGAGATCACAGTGTTCTTTACTAAAATGTATCATTAGTAGAGATAAAGCTCTAAAACCTCGTTTGATTTCTTTGCTTTAATATCTGAAAAGCTGGGATCAGGGGGATCTACTCTTACTCCGCAGAAATTGTTCTGTGACAGAGCTGGTCAGCCTTTGATTTGGGGTCTCAATTGCTTAGGAAGACACATAGTTCCTCAGGTTAAATAATAATTTTAACTAAATTTAGGGCTAACTCTAAAAACACAGTTCCTGTTTCCACGTCCATATGGTTTATAAGCTGAAGTTCATTCATTCTTAATTTCATTTCACAGAAGGGCTGTATGAAACTTTACTGAGTCACTGGATGTTAAATAACTGCTTTTCTGGGCTTCTGCTCAAGCTCAAACCCGAGAAATTTGCTGCTTCCAAACACCCAGATGCCCCTGAGTGGCTGCTGCTCCTGCAGCTTCTTTAGCTGACTTTTCCCACTGGAGATGCAGTTTGGATATTTAATTTATGTTAAAAAAACCACAAAGGTGTTTAGATATTTACAGATTAAACATGCTTGAAAATAATCAAAGCTTCAAACATTCGCCACTTGGGACTGAATTTCCAGGGGAACTGAGGGGATCAGGTGCTTGGAATGAGAGGAAAGTTGGGAATAAGAGGGAGAGAGAGGTTTTTCTGTAGTTGTTATTGCTACAGAAACCTCCTCCTCTGAGTAGTCTGGCTTATTTGAAAACAGAGCTGGGAAGCAGGATGTGTGCTGAAGATCAGGATGAAATCAGGAGAGAAGAGGCCTCCTGGCAGGCTGCTGTGTGTAGTTTCAGTGTAAAACAGCAAAAAATCCATCTGAATTCAGTCATTTCTTAATGAAGTATCAAGGATTTAAAAAAAAAAAAAAAGAGGAGAGATGTGCAAAAACCAAAAGGCAACAGGTTGCCCTCATACTCACCTTGGTTTGAAGACTCTGTGGGGTGTTCTGCAGTGAGTTTATCTTTTTCTGGCACATTTAATGCACTGTCCTTTTGCTAGGACAGAGAATCCAAGCTCAAATAGGTGGAGAATTCAGAATCAGGAGTAGCTTTGCTTTTGAAGTCGCAAACAGCAACCACAACACTCAATGGATGCAGGATTCAGCTCCAGCTTCTCTTTCCAGGCAGTCTCTTAAATATCCATCTTCTGATGAGCTTTCACTTCAAAGTGCAGCTAATGAAGTGCCTGTCAACACGTGGCAGTTAATGCTGCTCTCTGCCTGCAGATGAATAAATATGGAAAGGGAAAATGAAAAATTCCTTATTCAGCTTCTCAGCTGGGAGCCACTTTGTATTTGCCCCATTTCCTGATCAGTCTTCACGAGAATTTTCAGAACTGTTACTCAAATATTTGCTGTGCCAGCATTTCCCTTTTTCTTTTTTTTTTTTTTTTCTTCTTTTTTTTTTTTTTCAGAAGGAATACTAATAGGGAATTACAGTGAGCAATTTCCAATATTTGTGTTGGAAAGCTGCTTCCAAGGCCTGGTAGATATCTGATCAGGGCAGAGAAACATGATGCTTCACATTTATCTGATCAAAGCAGGCCAGGCCAGGGTGGAAGGTGATCAAGGCAGCATTATTTACACCGCTCTGGGATCTGTCTTTGCTTAAAAAGCTTGAATTTTAAGCAACTCTTGCCATGCAACTGCAGGAAAATCTTGCTCTTTTTACTGATGTGCAGACAGCAAACTGGTTAATTACTGGGTGAAGCAGAACGTGGAATCCCACAATGGTTTGGGTTGGAGGGAGCTTAAAGTGGCCCACCCAGTGCCACCCCTGCCATGGCAGGGACCCCTCCCACTGTCCCAGGGGGCTCCAAGCCCTGCCCAGCCTGGCCTTGGGCACTGCCAGGGATCCAGAACAGCCACAGCTGCTCTGGGCACCTGTGCCAGGGCTCAGCACCCTCTCAGGGAGGAATTTCCTCTGTATACCCAAACTAAATTTCCCTTCTTTCAGTGTGAAGCCATCCCCCCTTGTTCTGCAGAAGAATTTCCTGAAGAAATGTGCAAAAATCCCTCATCCTTGAAACAACTCAATCCCTGAAAAGCTGCCTAACCCTAATTTAACTGGGCAGTGCCTTTTGGAGCTTGGCATTTGGTCCCAGGGTGCTTTTGTTGGTTGTGCCACCAATTCCAGTGCAGAGCAAACCTGCAGAGACAAAACTCCTTTGGGGTGCAGCAGAGTGGTCCCAACCTGCCCCCACTGGAGGGATCCCAGGAGCTGAGCCCTGCTTTACTGAGCCACTGCTTCCACTCTGCTCTGAATCATTTCCTTCCAGCAAATAGATGGGGAATTGATGATATGGATGTGTGAATAGGCAGAGATCCAGAGTAAAATTATTATAGATTGATTATCTCAAAGCTGTTCATAAATTTAAATTAAATCTACAATTGCACGGGGCAGTGGGATGTGCTGCAGCCATCTCAGGCAGCAGGGGATAAGGAATATTTATTCTCTCATCATTCTTCTCCCTGTTGCCCCACCCCCAAAATGTTGTTTCTTCCACAAAAGAGGAGTCAGGAACAAAGCAAAATCTCTCCTGCTGCTGTGGAGTCCATGGTGAGTCCCCTTCCTGAATGTGGAGTTCTCTGCAACTTAAAAATATTACAGAACTAAAGGTGTGATGGAATACTGAGTAAATATATTGGATGGCTCCTCTATGAAGGACTAAATAAACTGGGATTTTATTTGCTCAGAAAGGGAGATGACAACAGCACACAAAAACTGCTGTAAAGGGGAACAGGAAATATCCTTTTTCACAATAAAAGTTCAGCATCCAAATAAAAGAATGTGGTGACAAATAAGAATAAATGAGTGACAGGACAGGGGGAATGGCTCCAAATTGGCACAGGGGAGGTTTAGATGGGATATTGGGAAGGAATTGTTCCCTGGGAGGGAGGTGAGGTCCTGACACAGATTCTCAGAGGAGCTGTGGCTGCCCCATCCCTGGAAATGTCCAAGGCCAGGTTTCAGCAATTAATAGTGTCCCTAGTGTGTTTCAAATAATCTTAATTCTGCTTTTGAGTGCAAATTCCTGAGTTTTATGGTTTTTCTCACATTTACTGGATTTACTTGAGCCTCATCTCCTCAGGACAGCATTGCTGCGTGTAATTTCATTTTCATTCTTTCTACATTGTAATCAAAGCTAGGTTCTTGTGATTGGGAACCAGCAACTCAAGAAAGGTTATTTCTCTTGTTTATATAAACTGGTGGGGTTTTAACACTTATTCACTTCCTTTCAATTGGGATCAATCAAATTCCTGAAGCAACGTGAAGAGAACAGCGAAGCTGAGGATGTTTTTATGCCCTGTTTGATTGTAAAATTGTAAGAATTCAACTAACTCCTCACAGATTGAGCCACAATGTTTCTTGCACTTTATTCCCAACCCCAGAACTCCTCGGAAGAAGCAGAGGCCGTGAGCAGTGAGAAGGCAGAGGTGGCTCTCGAGGCCGTGGCTCCCGACAGGGACGAGAGCAAGAGCACGGAAAGCACCGAGGTGAAACCGCGAGGGGCGGAGAGCAAAACGCCCAAGGCAAACCTGAGGAAGTTCTTTAAGCTGGTAAGAGCAGCTTTGCCCTTCGGGAGCTCAGGGGGCTGGGGAGAGGCTTGGAAAACACCTTGCCTTTGTCTGGGAGGGTACAGGGGCGCTCAGGGATGAGGGATGTTCAGGGATGCTCGGGGATGAGGGATGAGGAGTGCTGAAAGATGCTCAGGGATTAGGAGTGCTGAAGGATGCTCAGGGATGAGGGGTGCTCAGGGATGCTCGGGGATGAGGGATGAGGAGTGCTGAAAGATGCTCAGGGATTAGGAGTGCTGAAGGATGCTCAGGGATGAGGGGTGCTCAGGGATGCTCAGGGATGAGGGGTGCCGAGGGATGAAGGATGCTCAGGGATGAGGGGTGCTCAGGGATGCTCAGGGATGAGGGGTGCTCAGGGATGCTCAGGGATGCTCAGGGATGAGGGGTGCTCCGGGATGCTCAGGGATGAGGGGTGCTCCGGGATGCTCAGGGATGAGGGGTGCTCCGGGATGCTCAGGGATGAGGGGTGCTCAGGGATGAGGGATGCTCCGGGATGCGCGGCTGGGACTTCTCCCCGCATTCCCCCGTGCATTCCCCGTCCTGCATCTCCCTCTCGCGGCTCCTCCCGGAACGTCCCGAGGGCTCCGGTGGCCCTTTCCCCGCCGAGGTGGCCCAGGGAGCTCCAGGGGTCGCGACACCGAGGATGCTCCCCCTCACAAACCGCACCATCCCCCGTGGGAAGCCCCTGGAGGAGCCCATCTCCAACCCCGCCTCCAAATCCATCTCCTGCTGGCCACGGCACTGTCACTCCTCCTGTGCCGTGTTCTGTCCTGCACTGGCTTTGGGGAGTTGTATTTTTAGTGGCAGGACTTTTTTTGGCAGTTTGTGTAGGTTAGGTAAACTGGCACGTGAAAGGAAAGGAGGCAGCCACTCCTGCAAAGGTCCATCAGGAGGGAAAGAGGAAAGGCAGAAAGTAGAATCTAATCCTGCTTCTCAGGGCAAAACTGTTCCCAGATCATCTGCAGTCCCACATAATCAAACTTTTAGGCAATGAATAGCATTTAGAATTGAGAATAACTATGTTGTCACAACTATTGGTGAAAATGCAGCAGGGTGTTGTCTGTCCCCACCCTCCTCCATTTAAAAACATCCCAACCCACCCTGCTGACTGCTGAAAACTTTGTGGGCAGCAGCAAGCCCAAGTGACCAGAGGCAAGGATAAGAGGTCAGCAGTGCTCTGGAGAGAAATCCTTGGGATTGTTTCGTCCTCATCTCACTGGCAGCAAGAGGGAGCTTTGTCTAGACCTCAAGGTCTTTACTCTGTTTTTGGTTAAAAATAATCATAACAATAAAAATACGAGGTGGATTAGAGAGGTTGGCTAAAGCAGGGCTATTTTTATCTGGGTTTGTGGTGTTTATAGGGGAAAAGGTAACACTGATTGCTGTTAAAGCAGGTTTGGTTTTTTTCCTAAAGGCATTTGAGGACTTGCTAAAACACAAATGCAGAGCAGATCTCATCACAGCCCATCTCCATGCACTCTGGACTGGGTTTGTCCCCAGCACAGACCACACTGTGCTTCCTCCCCTGCACCTCCTGCACAGATAAAGCTCCCGAGCACAAACCCTGCCAGGCTCAGCATGGCACCTGCCAGGGACAGGGTTTTCCCCACAAAACCCATGAACTGTCATGGAGTGGTTTAATTTTCTCTCCTGCTGCTGCCATGCATTGATTTTTGTGGTTTTGTAGGAAAGTCAGGGTTGCAGTAACCCCATCTGTGGGACCAGGCTGGTGCTGCTGTAGCTCTACCAACGTAGAGCTGCAGCAAACCACAATTCCGCCTGAGATAAATTTAGAACAAAAGTCACATCCTTTCATTGTTTTCATTGAACTTCTGCAATGAAAAATGACATTTAAATTTGGGCACTCTGAAATCCTGCAGTTTATTTCATGCTTTGCTGCTGAGTTCTGTGGCTCAGGAGAACACACTGAACCCTCCCAACACATTTTTAAACACAAATGCTCATTCCTGTTGTCCCTTTTGTAGCACTGATTGTAACTTAAGCTTAACCTAATTCTCACAAAATGTGTACTGTTTACTTAGTTTGGTCAAACAGGGGTTTCTCACTTTTAAATCTAGATGGAAATGGGTTTTTACCTTAAAAAGATATTTCAGAGTCACGGTTTGCTCTGAGTGACCTTCCAGTGCTGCAGCCTCAGGCTCTGCCTGGATTGTCCTGACTGGGAAGTGTGGGAACCAAGGAGGATTATTTTTTAGAGGCTTAAGGACTGCAGGAATAAACTGGAAAGTAAAAATCAGGATTAAATGGATGCTGATGACAAAATATGGAAACATCCCTCTAAATGTGAGTGGGCTTTAATTATTCACAGCACATGCACTTAGTAGGGTGAGTAAAGAGCAAGTCCCACTAGGTCTTGTAGGACAGATTTGGCTCTGCAAAGCAAAGAAAAGCTCTTTCCTAGAAAATTCCAGCAGCAGGGCTGACAGCAGGTTCTTGTTTAGTGGCTGAAATGATCCCTGCTCAGGCCTTGATGGGAAACCTGACTGGCAAGAGGCAATCCCACAGAACAGAGCCAGCAAAACCCACCCTGGAGATGGGGACATTTCCAAAGTGGAGGTGCTGAAGTGCCTTCAAGCCTTGATTCCTGGGAGTTTTCCTCCTGAACGAAGCCTCAAACAGGACCCTTTGTTGTTTTAGTCAGTCAGGGGGGATGGAGGGACCCCCTGCTCCGAAGAGGGAGATGGTCCCAGCCCCAGACACCACGTAAGTGGACTTTGGATCTTTGGCCTGGACTTCTTCATCCTCTGGTGGTGGGTTCTTGTCACCTCCTTCCACACAGCTCTGCCTCTTGAGATGGAAAAGTCACTGAAAGGAGAGTGCTACACTAACTGAGCTTCATGTATTTACACACAGCTTCTGTTTCTTTTATCTGTTCAGAATATTAAACAAGATTTTAAAGAGTCAACATCATATTTTATTTTTTAAAAAAAGCTTTTTCCGGGTGTGTTCCTTTTCTTAAAATAATCAGTGGGTTTATGTACAATCTTCTTCCTCTCTCTTGCTGCTTTTTGACTTTCTGCAAGAACCTTGGCTCAGGCAGTGGAGCTAAATACACACAAAATTATTTTTACTTTGTTGATTTACTTGACTTCTGAGGAAAGAATCATTTAGGTGGAAACTCTACGAAAGAGAACTGAAAACGAGAATGAAAACTGTTCACTGCAATGTAACAAAAGCCATGAAAATATTTGTTTCTTGTTCTGTTTTTGTTTCTTTTGTTCTGTGTTCATAAAATCTAAACCCAAACTTTGGGTGTGGTGTTTTCAATCTAATCTTCATGGCTTTCAAAATGCTCCAAAAAAAAAAAAAATTTTCATTAGAAATACAAATTCTGTTAATTTGAGAGTCAAACCCTCATGTGCTGCAAGTGAAGATATCCTGAAGAATTCATCTCTCAGTAATGAGAACTAAAACAAGGTTCTGTCTATAGACAGTTTCCTTTAAGAGGAAAACTGAAGTTGCATTCAAAACTGTCATTTCAGAATTTCCTCTTTTAAATAGCTGTAAAATTATATCTCTCTCTTCCTATTTTCACAATGTCTGATGACACCAAGGTTAATTTGTATGAATTATGTCTCTAAAAGCACGCTAAATATAGAAGGGCCTTGTCTTGTGACACTTAATCCTTATTTCATACAAGAGCTTTGTGAAGTGATCTGGCTAAGACACCAAAAGTTTCAGCCCTGGATCTATTTTATTATTTTAATGAGCAGCCAGCTTCCCTCCATTTCTGTCAATCAGTTTATTGTTCTTCCTCCTTCTCTCCCTTGCCCTGGTGTAAAGTAGAACAGTTTTATTCCTCAGAGGAGCCCAAGGAAAACTGGATCTGCTGCTGACTTCTTCCTTTTTGGGGATTTCTTTGAAAGGATTTCCTTAAATTATGCTGTAGTGTCTCTGGAATGCTGTGATTCTTCTCCCCTTCCCATCCCTGCCACTCTGCACCCTCCTGAAATTTCAGCACTGCTCCAAAACCACAGAAATCCCAGGCTTAAAACTCAGCCTTGGCCCAAGGTCTCCTGTAAGGTAACGGGGAAAATGCTGTCCATTTTTCTTTTTTTATTTCAGTGGCACTGCTGATGTTGAGGGAGGCAAAGCAAACTGCCAGGAGCAGCTCCCCTTTGGAATAAGGAGCATTAACATCTTTCATTATTCCTTGGCCTCACTCCGCATTTCCTGAGCTGCTCCCGTCAATATCAAATCTGCCAATTTCCTGCCTTTCAAGGTTAATATGAAACACCTCAAAGAGATGATCTGATAGGGTTGGAGTTGGGTATTTTTTGCCTGGGAAATGTATTATGAATATTTTTTAAAAACTGTTTAGTCTGCCTGACATCAAAGGCCCCACCTGCTCTCGGCCACGGGGACGGTTCTGCTTTGGCTGCAGCGCTGTCTCAGGCACGTGTGGGGAGGAAAACTCTAATTTTACACCCACAGAGCAAAGCCACAGATTGCACAGAGTGTTTCTGAGGGTTCCAGGCTCCTCTGCCCCTCTGAACTCGGCTGTGGCTGGGCTCAGTCCCGGAGCTGTGCTTGTTGCTGCAGTGAGGGTGAATTTTTGCAATTTCACCAGAGAATCCTTTCAAAGGTGAGCTGAGGCCACTTCCAGTGAGAAGAGTCTTGGGAAGCAGCTCAGAGCTCCCAGACTTCACTGAGAGACAACTTTCCATTTGCTTTGTGTCCATCCTCGTGCTGGGAGAGCTCCTGCATCCCTTGGGCACGGCAGTGTCACTGCCCAGGTGAGGGGACACAGGTGGGCTGTGCGTGGTGCCTGTGAGCCCAGACCACAGCTCTGCTCTCCTCTGACCCCACTGAACCTGCTTTAAACATTCATAAATCTGCTGATCCCCTCCTTCACGTTCTCCTGCACAAAGACAAGCTGCTGACTGGGTTTTTTTAAGAGCAGAGCAATCCAGGTGTGAGGAAATATTTACCACATATATTAATCTCTGGAAAAAGAAATAATTCCAAAAGCTCGTGTTTAGTGGAGGAGTTGAGTCTCCTGGTCAAGTCTGAATGTATTAAATGGGTTCTGTGATTTAAACAGGGAACTTCTTTAAGGCTGGGCAGTGAGAAAAGCTGAATTGAGTGAAAAAAGCAAAGCAGCAGGATTGTTGTCCCCTCTCGTTCTTGTTTCCCCAGAATTAGACAGGCTTGAACATTCTTTATTTTTAAATACAAGAGGTGTATTTGCATTCTGTTTCTCTCAAGTTTCTCCTTTCAGCGTTTTCTCTGAAATCATGATATCTAAAAATGTTTTTGTTTTGAATGAAAGCTAAGCCTGGCGTGTGAGCACATAACCCCAGGCCTTCAGAAGAACACCAAATATTTCAAGACTAATGGTAAAATTCCCAAAGCTGGAAAAATACACAGCATTCAGCTTGGGCCATGGCCTGAGGGCAGATGTGAGATTTCCAGCTTTTCAGCATGGCAAATTTGTGCTGTTTTAATGATGGCAATAAATAAAGCCATATGGGTTTAGGGTTTTCTTTTTTTTTTTTTTTCATTTAAAAAAAAAGGAAAATCCTATTTGCAAACAGATTTCCTGGCTAAAACACCCTCATTTACTGCTGTCCAAACAGTGATGATTTCATTGTCTGATCCTTTGTTTGCCAGATATTATTTTCCTTGTGTGCACTTCAAATATATCCTGAACTTCTCTGAGTTCCAGGATCTTCCCCTTTACTCTAGACAGGTGCTTGGTGATTGTGGCTTTTTGGAAGATTTCCTGTCTCTTCTTTTGCACTTGCACATGAAATGTTCTATGATATTCTGGCTTTCCACATCCAAACCCTGTGTTGATCATTTTTGGGTGGAGTGCTGCTCATTCACAGGGAATTTGTTTTCACCCTTTGCTTTATGGGGTCTTTTGATTTTTGTCCTCTCTCAGATCTTTTCCTTGCACTTTTTTGGGTGCTTTCCCTGCTTGGGGTGCAGACTCTGGAGGTGTTTCAGTGGGCAGTGACTCTCAGTGGTGTTCCCTGCCTCCTCGAGCAGCCCCAGCAGGCACTTCAGGGATGTTGTTCCAGGCAGGGCTGGTTTGATCCCGCAGTCTTTGCTCACGGAATTCCATCAGCTCCCTGAGCCAACACTGCAGGAGTTCATCCCAGCCTCTGGAAATGCAAACCTGCTGGGCAGCGGGACTCCTCCTGCCAGGTGGCCTTTCATTTTTTTAATTATTTTTTTTCCCCTAACATATTTATGGATCTCCTTCTGAACTCTTTCTGTTCCCCACTAAAAATAACCCCTGTTTGAAACCCCTGCAGACTTTAAACGCCACGGAGAAGCCTCCTGCCCCATCTGAGAGCGACCCTGGGGGCCCAAGGAGCAAAGAGGGCTCCAAAGACAAGAAGTCCACGGTGGAGCTGGGCAAGCAGAAGGGCAGGGAGCAGCCAGAGCCCCGGGAGCAGCCAGCAGCTGACCCTGACTCCATCCACAACGGCGGGGACGCCAAGGAGCCCTCCTACAAGAAGACAGAGAAGAGGCAGTCCCTGGGAGGGTTTTTTAAAGGCCTTGTACGTTCATTTATCTTCCTGTTTTTGCTCTTTTCCAGCTGGTTTAGACATGCAGGCTCTGATCCACGTGGGATTTGTGCTTCAATTTCACCAGCAGGACTTGGGCCAAAGAACAGCAAGGTTTTGGGAAAGGAAGGAAAATTCGGGCCTCGGGATGCTGCTTGAGGCAGGGATGGTTTGGTGGTTTGCCCAGGAGGAGCTGATTGAGGCAGGGATGGTTTGGTGATTTGCCCTGGGAGAGCTGATTGAGGCAGGGATGGTTTGCCCTTGGGGTGCTGCTGCTGGTTGAGGCAGGGATGGTTTGCCCTCGGGGTGCTGGTTGAGGCAGGGATGGTTTGGTGGTTTGCCCTCAGGGTGCTGCTGCTGGTTGAGGCAGGGATGGTTTGCCCAGGAGGAGCTGATTGAGGCAGGGATGGTTTGGTGGTTTGCCCTCAGGGTGCTGCTGCTGGTTAAGGCAGGGATGGTTTGCCCTCGGGGTGCTGGTTGAGGCAGGAATGGTTTGGTGGTTTGCCCAGGAGGAGCTGGTTGAGGCAGGGATGGTTTGCCCAGGAGGAGCTGGAATTTTTGGCACAGCGCTGGGTTTGGGGTTCATGCCTTGGCTGTGGGGATGACTCAGAGTTCCTACAAATTACAGGGTGGTCATTAAAGGAAAGTGGAGGTGGGGCTGGTTTAGCAGAGGAAGCTGCCTGCCCCATGGGGGTGCAGCTGGGACATCCCTGCCAAACAAAATCCCTGCCAAACAAAATCCCTGCAAGTTCAAAATCAAGGCAGGTGATCAAAATCAAAACTCCTTTGTGGAGTTTAACAAGAGACACACATTTAGAATTCTTCCAGAAAGGGGGATCAGTGCCCAGCTGCAGGGTTTGAGCACAGATAAGGTTGTTCCTATGGTAAAAGAGATTAATTTATAATCTGTAGCAAATGTATTTAGGGAGTCTTTGAAAGATTAGATTAGAAAGAAAAAGGGGGAAAAAAGATTAATAACATTGTTTCCTGGGCTGGAATAACTCATAGTCCAGTTGTCAGGAGCTGGGAGTGCTCAGCACGTGGGAAGTATTCGGATTTTTTCTGATCAGAGTATGTGCTGCACTAACCCAAGCTTCTCCTGAGCAAAACCTGGGGGGAAAAAGTACTCCAGCACCAAGGTTTTGCTGTGTGTGCCCTTTAAAATGCTCTGCCCAAATGTTCCAAGCTCGGTGTCACAAAGCTATGAGCTGGTGGTACCTGAGCTCCTGAATCCCAGGCCAGAGCTGGAATCTGTCCCTTAAAAAAGGCAGAACAAAGCTCTTTCTTTCACGAGAAAGAAGGGCTTGGAAATTCCAGTTCAACAGGAATCATCAGCCAGTCTGATCTTCCTGCTTTAATCAGCAACCACCTTGAAAAAGGGTGCAGCAGGGGACTGCAGCGAGCAAATAAGTGACCTCTGCAAAATGGGTGCTAAAAGAGGCAAAATGGGGATTATCTCCACGGAGAATCCTCCTCTCCTGTCTCCTCCCTCCACCCTTTTATAGGAAAAAAAGGCAAATTGTAGCATCGTATTCCCTGATCAGTTCAGAAGTGACTTCATCGTGCTCAGACAGGAGCTGGAGCTGGCAGACCCCATTACTCCTGTCATGTGGGAAATCTTTACCTGATGTGGAGGTTTTTAGGGTTTCTGGCTAAATTTGGAATGAATAGCTCACTTAGTATTGGTTGGTGGATAAATGATGGATTTGCTGCTACCTGTAAATGGCCAAACCTTTCATTCTGCTCTAGAGCATCCTCCAAACTCAACGCCAGGAGAAGTGAAGCCACTGCAGCCAGCTCAGCTGCACAAGGCTACAATCAGTTTTACATGGGATTTTTCAGTCCATTGTGATTTTTGGCTGCCCTTTTTCACGCTTAGATCCTCCAAGGTGGAACCTTAAAGGAAGATCAGTGAGGTGGAGCCTTATCAGTGCAAAAACCTTGCTGGTTTTACTTCCCTGAAGGGGATGAAGAAGTCAAGACCTTTCAACTCTGCACGTGTAACACAGAATCCTCCTGAAGTGGTGACTCAGGTTTCCAGGAAGGGACAATTCACACATTATTCTGCCAGGTTCCTATCCTAGGGAAAGCACAGAGGCACCTTTGGCTTTGTCATGCTGGATTTTCTGCTTAGCAAGGCATGATTTGGGTTACAAACAGCACTGACACCCCACAGTGGTAACAGTGACCTCAAACACTGATTGTGGGTCCGTTTTGCTGAAGTTTTGGCAGCTTCAAGGCCAGCAAAATTAGGTCAGGCACCTTAAACCAGAGCCAAGTTTTTATCAGTTAGTGAAAAATGTAGTTGGTATAGTTAGAGCTATACATTTCCTTCATCTAAGCTGGATTAGTGTCTTGGAGTAGTTCCAAACCCAGAATTATGTTTGCAGTGTAAAAAAAGCTTTATCACTCGAACATTGTCGAATACCTGTCATGCATAAAAGTATTTAATGTTCCTTTAACCTAGAGCAGAGCAGGGCTGGCTATAATACACCATTCATCATGCCTGAAGGACTCTCAGCAGGGCTGCAGTGAAGCGTTTAGGGCAGGGAAATGGTAGAGAAAGTTATGCCAAAACTCCAATACTACAGACACACAGCAGCCTGGCTCTGGTAGGTGAGCCCAGTTCCTGACAACAATTGTTTCCATGCCAGTTGAGACAATTTTATTAAAATAACCCCCACATTTAGGCAGGAACTTTGTGTGGTTCTCATGATGCAGATGGTGCTCGTATATTTGTGCATATTAAATGAAGAAAAGCAGGGAGATTAAATCAGTGGGAAATATCTGGCAGCAAAAGTCTAGGGCACAATTCCAGACTTGACCATTCAGAAATAGTTGGAAATGTTTCTAAAGGTGTCCCTCTTGTTCCACAGGGCTCCAAAAGGATGTCGGATGCAGAAGTGCAGACAGATCCCGTGTCCATCCTCCCTGCTGGGAAATCCAAGTAGTGCCAGCTGCTGGAGGGAGGCTCAGCAGCTCTCTGGAGCTCCAGAAATGACTCCTTTCTGGCAGCAGAAATGACTCCTTTTCCTTCCCACGGCTGTCACAAACACCTGAGGCTGAAGCAAAAAAAGCTGAACACCGGGTACCACTGCAGGTTGTCATGGCAGGGTTTGTCATTTTTCAGGTTGTCTTTGCAGGGTTTGTCATTTTTCAGGTTGTCTTTGCAGGGTTTGTCACTTTTTCAGGTTGTCTTTGCAGGGTTTGTCATGTTGCAGGTTGTCTCTGCAGGGTTTGTTCCTCACCTGTAGAAAGCAGCTCTGCAGATCCCATGAAATGTGTTTAAGGTAAGGTGCTATGGATGGTTTGAAGTGTGCAGAGGGGAGGGTGAGTCAGGTACAAGGCTGTGGATGGTTTGAAGTGTGCAGAGGGGAGGGTGAGGCAGGCAGGGAATTCAATAAATGGCAGAAAAAGCAAGCAGGTGACAGAGGAAGGCAGCGAGGCACGGGCAGAGAATCCTCCTCTTCAGAGAGCTTGAAAGCAGCCAGGAAAACACAAATCCCCTGGAGAAATGTTCTGCTGCAGTGTAACAACAGCCGAGTCACTTCTGGTGGGGTTTCGACAGAGCTGGAATGAGAGCTGAGCCCTTCAGCCCGGCAGAACCCGTGGTGATCGAGTCCTGCTTCCTGATGGTTATTAATGTAAATTAAAACGCTAAAATGCAAAGGCTTGCCGTGATGGGGGCAGCTCCTGTCTCGGCCGGCAGGGTGGGATAACAAATTAAAAGCTATTTAAGGTTCTAATAGGACACAAGAGGGCAGCCACGTCCCCTAACGCCGGGCTGTGCCTGCCAGCCCGGAATTAATGTTCCTTAGATCATAGGAAACTTAGTTGTTCATCCTGATGTTTGTTTGTATCCATACTTGTAATTAATCCTAATAAAAAACCAAAATCGAAGCTGCCCAGGCAGCTCTGTGCTTCACAAGACTCCTGTAATAACTGTAGTTAATAAATTTTACAGAAAATTAAGATTTCTGTTTGTTCAATCCTAGCCTGTACAGGGAACCAGGGGCCTGACACTGTAATCCACACTGATCTTAATGATGCAATACTGTATATTTTGACATCCTTATCTTTAAATAAACTAATACTTATCCTTTGAAACAAAAAATCAGCTGCTGTTTCAATTTGCAAACCAAGTTTGTTATTTACATCCCCGTGGCCTGATGATTGATGTGACACTAAGGCATAAATCAGCACAGACAAACCTTACCCGTGGAGGGAACAGTTGTTATTCTCTCTTTATTTGAGTGAATATTACACATGGAAAGCAGGGGAGAATTCTGTAAATTCTGCACAATTGTGTTTCTAACTAATCTGAGAGGACAGAGATGCAAAGCCCCTGCAGTTCAGTGAGATTTTGGCTCTGGATTCTGCAGACCTGCAGGTTTGGGGTGCCCAGCCCAAACTTCAGCTGGTTCTGTGCACAGAGAGCACAGACCAAGGGTTCTTTATTATAAAGGCACTTTCTGCTCCCTCCCTGGCACTCTGATTCCATGTAAAGGGACATCAATCCATGGTGATTGACCCACAGCCCCTCCTTGTCCTTCTGGGCAGCACCAGGGTGACAGAATTGGGGTTGTTCTGCCCAGCTTTGCTCCACAAAAAGAAATAAATAAAATTAGGCTTTGTCTACATTGGATGAGATTGAATGGAATAAAGCAGAGCCAGGGAGACAACTGCAGTGGTTACACAGGCTGTGGCAGTGCCAGGGGTGAGACAGGGGCTCTTAGCAGAGCAGAGGGAATAAATGGTGTGATCACACTGCTGGGATTACCTCAGGAATAGTAGTTCAGTAATTTTCAAATAAAAATTATGAATATGATCAATTAGCATAAAATCACAGAGGGGTTTGGGTGGGAAGGGACATTAAAGCCTACCCCGTGCCATGGCAGGGACACTTGCCACTGTCCCAAGTGCTCCAAGCCCTGTCCAGCCTGGCCTTGGGCACTGCCAGGGATCCAGAACAGCCACAGCTGCTCTGGGAATTCCAGCCCAGCCCCTCCTCACCCTCACAACCAGGAATTCCTCCCCAGTATCCCACCTAACCCTCCTCTCTGTCAGTTTGAAGCCATTCCCTGTGTGCTGTCCCTCCATCCCTTGGAAATCCTCTCTCTCCATCTTTGCTGCAGCTCCTTCAGGCAGTGGAAGGAAGAAAACCTTCTCTTTTCCAGGCTGAAAATACAGAATATATATCTATTTCTATATTATGGGCTGTGTAGACCTTAATTAATATTGTATTTTGGCTAGACCAGACCTTCTCTGGAGGAGAAGAGCTCTCCCCTCGGGGAGCAGCCTGTGCTGGGGGCACCCTGAGCTCCCAGGAATCGGGGCTGCTGTGCCCTGACCCCATCCCTTGGCAAAGGGGCTGCTTTGAGGAGTCAGGAATGGCTCTTGGCAGAGAAACAAGCACCAAGGGTGGCTGTGGGTGCCCTCCACGGCACGGGGCTCTCACTGCAGGCAAAATAAAACCACTCAGAGAGCTGGCACAGGCTCCTGGCAGAAACTGCCTGGGTTTTTTGGGGTTGGTTTTTTGTTTTGTTTTTTTTTTGGTTTCTTTTTTTTGTTTGTTTGTTTTTTGTTTTTTTGTTTTTTTGGCTTGATTCCTCCTCTGGTTTTGCTTGATTCCTCACTGGTTTTGTTTGATTCCTCCTCTGATTTTGTTTGATTCCTCCCCTGATTTTGTTTGATTCCTCCCCTTATTTTGTTTGATTCCCCCCCTGATTTTCCTTGATTCCTCCCTGGTTTTGTTTGATTCCTCCCCTGTTTTTCTTTGATTCCTCCCTGTTTTTCTTTGATTCCTCCCCTGGTTTTGTTTGATTCCCCCCCTGATTTTCCTTGATTCCTCCCTGGTTTTGTTTGATTCCTCCCCTGATTTTGTTTGATTCCTCCCTGGTTTTGTTTGATTCCTCCCCTGATTTTGTTTGATTCCTCCCTGGTTTTCTTTGATTCCTCCCTGGTTTTCTTTGATTCCTGCTGCCAGCAGCAGCCTTGCAGAAGCCCCTCAGCCTGCCCATGACTCTGCCACACGTGGAACCCAGAGGAAGAAAGGTCTTAGGAGAAGCATCCCCAGCTCAGGGAGTTTCCGCATTCCTCACGGATATAAGGAACATTAAATGCAGCTTTCATGTCCAGGAAATCTTAACAAGTCATTTGGAAATCAAAGCTTTGGAAGGGCTGCAGCCCAGGACAAAGGAAAGGAGCAGCCAAGGCCATACATTGCATTAGAGCCCGTTGTCAGCAAACAGGCTCTGGTTTTATGCTTTGGAGCACAATCGGGGCACATCACACTGCTCGAGGCTCTCAGGGTGTGTTTCAGGGGGGGATTTTGGAAGGGTTTTAAGCATCTGATAAATATAAAGGGGAATGGATCAAAACTGCAGGTTTTTGTGCAAGAAATGCTGGCTTACAGCACGCACAGGGTGATTTGCAGGTTCCCAGCAGGGCTCTCTGTGTCCATCCCAGGAGCTGGGTTCTCTGTGTCCATTCCCAGCAGGGCTGCAGAGCCATGAACTCCTCCCTGCTGAGCATGCCAGACCCATCCAGCCTCAGAGCAGGGAATCTGGGCAGGATCTTGCCCCTTGGAAGTTTAAGGTCCTTATTTAGGAGCTGAGTCTGCTCACACTGAGCCAAGCCCTGATTTGGGGTTTGTGTTTCACAGCTCTGCACCCACAACATGTTTTAAGAACCCTTGGATACCTTTTGGGATGGAAATCTTCACAGCTGGCTTTAAAGCCACTCATGCAACAAAACCTGTGGTTTCCTGCCTGGAAGGATGGTGTGACAGGAGGCAAACACAGAGCTGGTGGCTGTGGGACTGAGCCATGGGAGGCTGGAGCTGGGATGGCTCTGAATTCCATGCAGTCACACAATCTGAGAACAGCAGTGAGAAATCTGGATTTGCTATAGACTCCACCTCTTCTGGATGACACACCCCGGGCTTTACTGGCAATTTCAGCAGCTCAGCAGTTCTGAGAACACAAAAACAGGAAATTCTGCAGCAGCCCTGACGAGGCTGAAGATGCTTACGAATTCCTTAAAGAAGTGTCATTTTCTGGAAACAAAATCCTCTCTCCCTCGAAGAAGAAGAAGAAGAAGAAGAATAAAATTCTTATCAGCACTCTTTGCTTTGACTTCATCATTTCCTATTAAATCTGTCACCTGCTGAAGGGCAGAGGAAAGAACCTCCTGCACAGGAAGCACCAGAGATTTGACTTCAAACCGGAAAGGGACAAAGTCCAAATTCCTCCTTTATCACATCCCAGGGTGAGCAGGTGATGCAGAGCCCAGCAGTGCCCCTTCACCTGCCTTTGCACACAGCAAGGGCCTTTATTCTGCTCACAGTCCTTCATCCTGCTCACAGTCCTTCATCCTGGTCACAGTCCTTCATTCTGCTCACAGTCCTTTATTCTGCTCACAGTCCTTCATTCTGCTCACAGTCCTTCATCCTGGTCACAGTCCTTCATTCTGCTCACAGGCACAGGGATGATAAGGACAGACCCTCACCTAAAACACAATTAGAGTTTTGCAGACTCATCTTTGTGCACCAGTTTCAGGATGTTTGTGATTACTTCATTGGAGTTGGTTGGAAAACAGAAGGGAAGTGGGGATTAAGCTGCAGAGGTTTCACTTTTTTTGCTGTCAGCAGTTTCGAGTCTATTGGAGAAATAGATTCTGAGCTGGTACAGGCTGAAATTTTATGACTTTGGTAAATGAATCTGAAGTATTCCAGAATGTTGGGACTCCATCATCACAGGAAGCTTTTGAGCCCTGGCAGTGGCTGCCATGAGTCAAAGAAAAGAATTGCCTGTGAAAAATTTGCTTGTAAAATTGAGCTGAAGCAATCTTTTTTTCCTATTTTTAAAAATTCTAATTTTTTTTTAACCACTGCTTCACATACTGAAAAGGCACATAATTATCAAATGCCCCGTTCAGGAACCCTTCATCAAATTCAGTAATCAGGGCTAGATAACTTTATTACTCCCTGTTTATTGCCACAAAATGCTCTATCGACATTCCCAACCCAGCCACAGAGCAGAACCAGTCTTAGACATTCTAGAAAAAAAAATTTCTTTACCCCAAGAACCCAGGGCTGGGCCACACCAGAAGGATTTTGGTGCTTCCAACAGTGAGTGGAGCAGCCCTGCAGAGACACAACCACACAAATTTCATCCCAGCGAGACTAAATCCATGCAAAGCCTTTTACTGCCATTGTGACTACACTCAAAAATAATTTTTTGGCTCTCTTCTCCCGATTTGTTGCCTCCACACAGTCCTACCACAATAAAACTGCTGAGTAAAAACGAGGTTTTGCCTGTGTCAATCTGCTGAGGGGGTCTGC